AGCAGCCGTCAGCCTGCAGAGAAACTTTCCACCAAACGGACGTTGTGAGATTCACCTTTTTACATTTTCTGTTAACCTGCAGCTCAAACAAACCTAAAATCGTCTGTTAGCTTTCATTAAAAGGTTTCAGGTCTCACTCGGGAAGCAAAACGTGACGAAATCTTAATAAGACACAGCTTAACGACAGAGATTTTCAGTTATTGTGAGATATGTTGCTAATTGGGAAAAACGAAATAAAAGCATAACACAGCAAGGAGGTTTAAATGGGACGCAAAACCTGAAATATTCTCCTGCAGTGTTGTACATACAGGATGGAAAGTGAAACGTGGGTGAGTCAGGAGTTAAACTGACAGCTTACAGGTGACGTGATGAGAGCGAAGGATATTAACGTACATATGAGGCAACCTCAGCTAACTGGAGTCCTGGGACCGTTTTTGTGCTGTTGGGGTCTTTTGGAGCATTTTTAATGACATTATCTGACCAGTTATTATTTTTATTAACATTTAAAAATAAACTCTCAAGATAAAAAATCTCACAAGAGTGTCCTGGTCAAGAAGGACAGCAGTACGATCATAGGTTTCATACATTAATAGCACATAAACATAAAAATCCATAAACCGTAAGTACAGTGAAAGAGTAAAAAATAAACCAAGACTTATAAGTGTCAGCATTAATAAAGAATATATATCAAAGGTATTTGTCTAATGTCAGAAAAAAGGAAGGCAAAAAATTTTGGTGCCTGAATTGACTCCATTCAAGTGGTTTAAAATTGCCTTCAATTCATTGACATCAGTTCCTTCAGTTTGAGTTTATTCTGCAGCTGATTCCAGGAGGATGGAGCAGCAGATTCGAATGATCTTTTTCCAAATTCAGTGTGAACCTTTGAGACAGATTTAAGGAATAACTCTTGGGACCAATGACAATGACTCCCCAGACTTTTTTGATTATTGTATGTCTGTAAATAAGACGGGAGCAAACCTAGAAAAGCCTTACAGATAAGAAAATACCAGTGGTGGAGTCTACGACATGACAGAGCAGACAACGTACAGTGGTGAGTAAGAGCTTTAGAATTTATAATGGATCTCACTGCTCCATGACAGACAGGATCCTGCACATGTAATCATTCACATGATGCATGCATATAAACAGGGGTGCACATAAGTGTTCCGCAGGTGCGTATTCGCTGTCAAAATAAAAGACGCGAACCAGATATGAAGTTGCAACGCGTGTTTGCATACATAAGATTTTCTGGAGGAGGACAGACATTTGTTTAGAACTTTTAAAGATGTCGAAGAAGCTCCTTTAAGCAATTACTGTGATGTTCCTCCACCTCCAAAGAAATGTCAAGAGGAGTCCGAACCGCAAAAGAAGCGCGTATTCTCGTAAAAGGGGTTGCAGGAGGTGAGCCGGCTTCAAACAAATCATGAACGCACAGAAATTTGGTGCAAAATATGCCGTGAAAATCCCACTCTAGCAGACAAAAACAGTGCTTTTTATATGTACGCAAATGCTTTGCAACTTCTTATCTGGTGCGCATCTTTTATTTTGACAGCAAATACGCACCCGCGGACCACTTATGTGCACCCCTGCATGTAAATCACATTGCCATAATCAAGTATGGACATAAATGTCCAAACAAATCTCTTTCTTTCCTTTAAGGACAAGCTGGACTTTATTATAAAATAAAAACCAACATGGGTGATGTCATGAGGGCTACTCCCATCTTTTATATACAGTCTATAATGTTCTTTCTTTAAGTTTCTTCTTCACTGAAATAACAGTAAAGTTTAAAAAAATAAAATAAAACAAAGTATGTAATTCGTTTAAAAAGATGCTGTTTATCAGCTCTGCGCAGCCTCAGTAGCATCTTTGAAGAAGGCAGCAGGCAGGATGCTCCGGTGTGGGTTTGCCCTGCTTTGACGTCTTCTGCACGCTGTCCTGGTAGAGAGAGGGTGGAGGTGTTTCATAGAGGAGAGCCCTGCCGCCCTCTGAAGGCTTTATCACTGCACCGCATTACACAGAGAAAAAAAATATTAATACATTATATAAAATTAATTAAAAATGATAAACAGAAAGAATTTTATAGGAAAAAATGAATAAAGACAAAAATAATGTCAGAAAGGGAAATAAATGTCCATTTAAAACAGAGATACCTCTATAAAATTATTATTAAAATATTAATAATAAATGCTTGAACTCTGAATACAAGATGTCATAATGGTAATATAAATTAGAATTAAAAATTTCACATATTAATAATGTGTAAAAAGAATTCAAATAAATAAAATGTCTGTAAATAATAATCAAAGGTCTGTAAAATACTGTTAAATAATCCCAAACATTTTTTTAATTAATACAATTTACCAAAATTAATAAATAAATATCTGAAAATTTTAAAAAACATAATTTCATAGTTTTGAGGCAAAAACAAAAACAAAACCAAACCGATTAACTGATGATTAATGTTGTATGAAAAGTTATTTTTAATAATTACGTGCGGAGTGCATGTGCATAAAAAATGTATGAAAATACATAAAATGTGTAAAAAAAAA